CCATCCCCTGGCATCTCTGACACCCATGGTCCCCTGCCCAGCCCGGGACCCCCGGGCATCTCCCGGCCCCTCACCTGGCGCCTCAGAGTCTTTGTCCTCGCTGGGCGGCTTCTGCTCATCCATCCCGCCACCTGTCGTCCCTCACAGAGAGGCCTGCAGCTGGGGGAGAGGGAGGGACACGTTAGCTCCACCATGGTCCCAGGGCTCTGATGCCACCGCTCCCAGCCCCTGGCACAGACCACAGGGGTCACGGGGCATCCACCTCTGGGCGACTCAAGTGGTTCCCACCACTCAAGGGGCCATAAAGCAAGTGAGTTGGAAGGGCCTCAGTCCCAACTCCTGGCAGAGGGGAGTCAGCTTCTCACACCAACCACCGCAGGCCCCAGCCGGCCACATGCCCAACCAGTCCGCAGCACCCCCACCCCGCAGATCCCCCAAGGGACTGCCCAAGGGTTGCGTGGAAACTGCCCCAGGCCCTCTCACACCAGGCACGGCCCAAACCCGCTGCCTCAAGCAGGAGGGAGCTCCCTGGCGCGTGTCCCTCTCTACTCCACTGGAGCACGGGGCTGCCCTAGCCGTGGCTGCAAGCGCCCGGGGAAGAAACCCCGGTCAGGGCCTGGGCGCCAGCCATGCAGGAGACGCACCCGTGCACCCGAGCCCTGCCTCCGTGAGCTACAGGGCCATGCCCCGGGCACAGCACACGCTAGCTCCCCTGGACACTGTGTATCTGGGGCAGCTTCTCCCAGCAGGCGCCGCCGCACGGGGCCGCTGGCGCGTGCAAGGCCTGACCTCAATTAAAGCCCGGGGGGGTGCAAGGCACCCCAGCTGGCTCGGGCAGGGGGAGGAGCCTGCCTGGGAAGCAGCAGGGCAGCCCCGGGGGCTAGCGGTCAGCACAGAGGGGAACCGGGACCTGGGGGAAAGAGCCCGGCCCTGGGAGGAGAGCCAGGACGCCTGGGTCCTACCCCTGGCTCCCAGAGGGGAACACGGCTGCGTCTGGGGTGGAGCGTTCTTGCGGGCACCTCGTGGCGGTGCAGAAGGGGCCTCAGAGGGACCGGGACAGAGCCAGGCCCCGCCACGCATGCACTGGCCGCCCGGGGGGCTCAGGGTGCGGGCGCCAACCCCCAGCTGCCAGGGCCACGGGGCTCAGCATGTGCCCCAGGCACCGGACGGGGGGCCGGGACGCCAAGAGACCCCCTGGGCGAGCGGGGCCCTGCTCGGGGGCTAACAACCCCCCCCAGGGCAGGGGCTTACCCCGGTGTTTGGGGGATGTTGGGGGGC